TTACTAACGGAGTTGCTTTTCAGGATCGGAGTCATGTTGGGTGTCTACGCGAGTGGCATCTCCGGAGCACACATCAACCCTGCAGTGACCTTTGCAAACTGTGTCTTTCGCAAATTCCCGTGGCGAAAATTCCCCGTCTATGCCATTGCCCAGATACTGGGAGCTATGTGTGGAGCAGCTATTGTCTATGGGAATTACAGATCGGCCATCGATCAGTTTGAAGGGGGAGCACACATCCGGACGGTGCCTGGGTATTCTCCTACAGCCACCGCGGGTATCTTCTGTACCTACCCGGCGGAATTCATGACCAGGACGGGACAATTCTTCTCGGAGTTTATCGCCAGCTCCATCCTGATGTTCATAATATTTGCTCTGAAAGACGACGGAAATATCGGAGCTGGTCCCCTTACCCCCCTTGCACTCTTCTTTGTGATCTTTGGCATTGGCGCTTGTTTTGGGTGGGAGACTGGGTATGCCATCAACCTCGCTCGAGACTTGGGGCCCAGACTGGTCTCCTATATGATCGGATACGGCCCTGAGGTCTGGAGGGCGGGGAACTATTACTTTTGGGTATGACTGGCTCTATTCAATACGATGACTGATATGAAGAACTAATAAACCCTATCGCAGATCCCCATGGTAGCGCCATTCATAGGGTGCACTTTCGGTGGATGGATGTACGATATGTTCCTGTACACGGGGACAGATAGTCCAGTGAACACGCCATATGGCGGACTACGGCGGCTCATCCAGCCAGTGGAGAAAAAGTCGATTGACTCGCAGAGCCAAGTATAAACGGGAAGTAGCATGACGATTAACGAGCTTATGTGACACGTTTTGAGGGAAAAACACGATTGGATGATTCTGCGACTAGTCTAGCATATATGTTGAAACGATGATTACGGCCCTGTGTGATACAAAAACGCTTGCATGTACTCCAAACTGTCAGTGGAATGGAAATGTCAAATGTCAAATGTCATGTATTCTATTCGAACACCCAAGCCTTCTAGCCTCTGGCCCCGTTACATAGAGCGTGGCCATAAAACATGTAAGACATCGCACAGGAGACCCGGCGTGTAACGGACTCTATCAATCGCAAACGCATGTGAACATACTAGGATCTATCATCAATAATAATACCACTATTATCCAGTCTTTGGGGAAGTCACCCTCGTCGCGTGATATATGCATCGCATATACTTCATTCTCGCAGTCAACCCAATCAACCCATGTCAAACTCCCTCCCAATACCACCGTGCCATCCACACCACGTAAGAACTAGCAGTGGCGCGCCTCAGCAACGGGGAATCAATCCCAACCCGGCAACTGTCTACCGCTGCAAGTGTATTATGTATTTTCCCCAGAAGTACTTCGTAGGTATGCTTTCCAATTGACGTTGCCAGTTTAACCGGATCCGTCCGCCTGCATGGGCTGTTTAGTCTGGGGTAGGGATTATGAGGGCTAGGCATTGGGGTAGCTATGAAGTGGTGATGGAGCCGAGGATATCCGTTTTGGGAATCGAGGTCTAGAACCGTGGTTTCTACCGAGGATTTCTGGTAGTAAGGTAAGGTAAGATAGGGACTGCCCATAAATCACTTTTTGAGTTGTCGTCTGCGAGTAGGTTCATTCGACAGGAAATTAGGTCCGATGGGGATCGTATCATATCATGATGAAGCATATCTACACAATCAACAACATCGCCATCACGATTCATCAGTTCAAAGTTTTCAATTATAGACGTCACTCTGACAATGGTTCTCCTCTGGATAGTCCTTACCAGGAAGGTCATCTACTTTCATAATCATCAAGCAGTGTATACAGACGAAGTACCTAGTGTGACCCATAACCCTAACCCGTAACCACCATCTACGGAGTAGATATTATCTTACAGACGAACATCCAGCAGATACCCTGGAAAATGGCCCCGTACAGGACCGAAGAAGAATCAAACAGACCAACCTACGAAACCAAGTCCGACTTCGTGGAAAAGTACGTCCTCCGCCCTGTCGGCAAACCCCTGACGAAGGAGTACCGCGTCTACTTCAACCTCGACGACAAGCTCCTCTCCCCCTGGCATGATCTGGCGCTGTACGCAGGAGGCGGCCGCGATTCGGTGGTGCATATGGTTGTCGAGGTGCCTAGATGGTGGAGTGCGAAGATGGAGGTGAGTCTTCTCTCTCTTCCTTTGACGCGCATTGAACTATTGATCGATGAAAATGACGACAACAGATCGCAAAAGACGAGTATCTCAATCCCCTCAAGCAGGATATCCAGGATGGCCGGTTAAAGTACGTTCCCAACATCTTTCCGCATAAAGGGTACCCCTTCAACTATGGGATGCTGCCTCAGGTACGCTCGCTCCCATACCTTCAATTGATAAACAGACAAATTGATAGAGAATTGAATAGACATACCAAGATCCCAACATCAACGACCCTCTCACTAATCTTCCAGCGGACGGGAACCCGCTCGCTGTCTGCGAACTGGGCGGCGCAATGCCGCGTCCTGCACAGGTCAAACGGGTCAAAGTTCTGGGCTCGCTGGCCGTCATCAACGAGAACAAGACAGACTGGAAGATCTTAGTTGTTGACTTGGAGGATCCCGAGGCGGACAAGCTGAGTGATATTGGGGACGTCGAGTCGCTGATGCCGGGTTATCTGGACACAATCAAGGAATGGTTCCGGGTGTATAAGCTGGCCGAGGGGAAGAAGGAGAACGTTCTTGGTGCGGATGGGGAGCTACAGAATCAGAAGTATGGTAACTATTGCGCATAGAAAGAGCCGTCGACTAATCACGGCCGATGCAGGTATACTCTCTCGCTCATTGAGCGGTGCCATAACTCCTGGAAAGCTGTCAAGGAGGTTGAGCCAGGCATGCACACAAGGATTTCCATGTGAGTGAACGCCGGCTGTCAAAGAAACCTCTCGTTAACAGAGTCCAGGGCGGACATTGCGCCTCAGGAGCATGGTGCGGTTGATGTCCTTCCACGAACATCGGAAAATCGAGATGTCTGCCGAGATATCGACCCCATAGCAGCTGAGAAGAGTCATTTCCTATCGCCAAATTGGCCTTCCATGGCTGCTTGCCGCGGTGGTGCTCTGAATGTGTAATAGATTTGTAGAATAGAAATGAGATGATCGCTTTTATAGACCAGAAACCAGAATACTCCAAAGCATCTAAATGGTCAAGTTGATAAAATCTAAGGAACCAAGACCGTATGTCATCTTATCTAGCATACGAACTAAGGAGTTACAGCCCTCCGTCCTAGGATGATAGCCGGCTGATTCAAGTCCTCATCCTCAAACCTATTTTTATTGTTAGCCCTTGATCCCGCTTGAAGAAGGAGGTAAAGAAATACCCGAGTACAGCCACGCCTGCTGTCTCAATCAGAAGCCTCACCCCACACTTCAAAGGCAGCCCGGTCCATCGCATAGCCAACGCAGCCAACGACTGACCAGAACCAATACAAACGATATCCCGAGGCTCCTCATTGACATGAGGGATCAGCCGGCCTCCCGGCCAGGAGGCTGTAGTACTCTTGAGGACCTCTCTCATCTCCCCGATCAGCTCGTCGAGGCGATCGGAGACCTGTTGAGCGGTTCTGGGAGACAGGTCAGCCTCCAGTCGTTTCCTTACCACCTATGCAATGTCCCAAGCGGAAGAAGAAGACATACTCGCCTCCAGGACAGCCATCCTCCCAGACCGACCAGGGTCTTCCCTTATCCAGCCCCCCTTGCTTGCGTTTCTCACGAATTTGGTCCGTGGTCAGCCCTTCATATTCGCCGTAGTCCCACTCACCAAGACTGGGAGTGATCTGGATGGTCGCCTCGGCTATTTCGCCCGTAACAGGAGGGATCGCGGTCGTTGTAGTCTGCTTGGTGGTTCGATCGTAGAAGTGCTGATGTTGGTGCACTCCCAAACGGAGGATTTCACACGTCTGACGATCTCGTCTCCTTGGAGTGATATATCTGGAGTTGAAAGTCTTTGTCAGCTTCCAGGTCTCACGCGTATGATGGCAGTGAATATAGGGCTTACATGCGTGAAACCCTTTTGGGGTCGATCAACTTGCCCTCACCTACATACTGCTCCCTAGTCAGTTCGACCTGTTTTTCCCCTGCTGTGGATAGTTTATGGTCGGTGGTGCTAATATGCTGCATCCCCCGGGTTCCTTCGGTTTCACCATGACGAATCAAGAATACATGGGAACTCATTTTGAATGAAATGCAAGCAGGTAAGCTGTCAGCGCGATGTTGTGTAGGTCTGGAGAGAACAGCTCCAAGATATTGTTCGTGTGCTGTCGGATACAGCACCCACCCAGAATCAAAACATCGAGGAAGTGACCCTTTTGACGTGATGTCATTCCCAATAAAGAAATATGTTCATATCTACTTCACAACGGGAATTACGGTCCGTCCACTGTCGGGATATACTCCCATAGGATGAGCTGGCCTGACCTCAGCATTAGGCAGGTACCAGGAATATACCTCCAAAGGAATAATTGTGGTTTAAGTACCACTCGACCTTTCCTGCAGAGCAGCAGAGAAGCCTGAGATGAGCCTCATGAACCGATTGGGCTGGCGTTGTCCGTTCTTGGGAAGTTATTATCGTATCACGAATTAATATTGAGTGCTGTCTAGTCTATAAACACTTTTCGCCGGAGAATAAACAATACAAGAAGTTACAAACCAGGTGGTGAACTCGATCGGCCTTCCAATCTGGATAGGGGATCGATACGAACACTATCACCCAGTGCGCCAAGGCAAACAATGTGACCCATGCTGTGCAACAATTAGAGACAAGAAAGAAACGCTCCCATCCCTGAATGATAGAGGAAAAAGACCAAATTGCAAAAAAGAAAAACAAAGCCACCGAGTCCGTGTCTATACAACATACAATTCGTCGTCGTGTGTAAGTCATGCATTCATTAATCAATCGTCTCGTGTCCGTAGCCGTCAATCGTAAGTGTGATGGTGCATTGCTTCTTCGAGGAAACCCTCAGCTCAAAAGACTGCCAGGAGGCCGCCAAGGAGCGCACAGAAGATACCCATTCCGACGGGCGCCTCCAGCAGGTCATTGGCTGCGGCAACAGTAGGGGCCACATGTGCAATCGAGGCGGAAAACGAGGGAAGAATCGAGCCATATGTGCTAATCTGATAAGTAGTTGTTGAAGTAAGATGTCCGGTCGACTTTGTCACACTTGAACTACTCGGGACCGAAGAGACGGAACTGGTTTTAAGCCCGGAGTGGGAAGATGAAGCCGGCGATGAAACCGAGGAAGATGACGTACAGAGGGGCGTAGACTATATTTGTAACGAAAGAAAGGCATCAGCATGTCTCGATCGAAAAAGTGGTAGAGGCAAGTGAAGGGCAATGCTCACTCACAGAAGCCGCACTGGGCGGCTGGACTTGTCGAGATCCGGAAAAGGTCCAGCCACTGGGCAGAGTCGTATCCTTCGCGACAGAAGACGACAAGGTGGTAGGCTTGGGAACCCAGGGCCAGATACTTGGAGTTACAAAGCTCGACGTCTCACGGTGCGTGCCACTGAAAGGAATAGGAGCACTGTCAATTGTCGCGGTCACAGGAGGGGCAGACTCGACAGTTGAAATGGACTCAGCGTCACTATTACCATTGATTTGACCTCCATCGGAGGTGATGGACCGCCACGAGCCACTCTTGTCGCTATAAGTATACGATTTACCCGTCGAGTAGTCGGTCGCCACGAGCGACTTGAGGTACATGGTATAAGGACCCGCGCTGTAGTCGGTTTCGCCACCAGCCCATTCTAAGAGGTGTTAGCATATATCGCCAATCGATATCATCACTGCAGTCAGGATCGTCACTCACGAATTGTGCCTGGCGCATTGTTCGGATCACCACCAGCCCATACACCAACCTTGACCATCATTGGGCTCTGCGGGTAATGATCCCCGGCACTCTCAGCAGTGAGAACCCGGACAGTCTTGCCATCAATTTGCCAAACAATCTGCGTGCTAGTCCAGTCGATTGTGTATGTGTGGAAAGCATCCTGGTTTCCAGCATTGTCGTGGGCAGCGCCACGATTGTAACTGCCAGTGTCTCCTTTTCCGAAGTAGTTGGTCTGAACATACAGATTGTTTGCTCCGAGCCATTCCCAATCGATCTCATCGAGGTCATCAGACTGCAGAACTGCACTACTAACAATGCCCTTGCCTGGTGCGGTCTTGATCACGAACTCGACGTGACCAAACATCATATACCAGTTGGACTGGATCAGCGGGGCATCACCTTGCTTGGCCACTGAGAAAGCAGCACCGTTGTTGCTGTCGTACGTGGGGCTTCCAACTGGTTTGAAGTCGGCGGAAGAGCCTTTGGTGAAGTCGTAGGTGACTGATCTCCCCAGAGCGGGATTCGGAGGGCAAGCTTTTTGACAAGTCAGAATTATTCGGTGGGACCGTAGTTTTCGAAAGGTACAACTCACTCTTCTGCAATGGGTTGCAATCAGTGTATGTCTGAGCTGTCACGATGGCAGAGGAAGAAAGCAGGCCAAGGGCCACACCAACGAGAGGCAATCTCATGGTGAGAGGCTTCGGAGGTAATGTGAGAACTGATGGGATTTCCAAAGAAAAGATTGAAGGTGATCTGATAATACAGCAGAGATGATGAGAATTCAAAAGCTACTAGATAGTATGTATGTGAAACAAGGTGGTACGAGCAGGAGGATGTATGCAGAAGAGAGAGAAGGGAAGAAAGGAGGAGGAAGAAGCAAAATAGTTCTCTTATTGACCGAGGTGATACATTGAGATTTGAGAGGAAAGAACAATTCACTGCCACAGCAGCAGTAACAACCAAGGACTAGGCAACAGGCTATTCTTATCACCTTCCCAGCTGTCCTTCACCTAGAGGAAGGAAAGCTTCTGACCGACAGCATGGGGACCACTTTGGAGGAAAGTGAGTAGTCCAGCCTCCTCACTTCCTTTCTTCTGCCGTCATCATCATATTACTTCTTTGGGGCAAGTTAGCGGGCGGCCCAGTGGAGACCTGGCAACCTAAGGCAAGCAGATTAGCACACATCTGCTGCAGATCCACACAAGGTTCCTGCCCTTCCAATCCTTCTCGAACCTGTCATTGGCTCGAGCGTTTGGTTGTGGCGCTTTTTTGGTGGCTGGACATTGGCCATTGGCCATTGGTGTCCACTCCCACACGTGACAGGAGCTTTAATGCGGCCAAACTTCAAGGTTGAGTGGTTGAAACTTGAGGGGCCAAGATCGGCTGAGACATGCCTGGTATCCACTACCAAAAAATCAGTAGTCCTTTGTGCTACATTGTGTCTACCACTGTATGGGTACAGAGCACTCCATACACAAATATAAATAGCTTCTTGAGCTGTTCATGATCAGTAGACAAAGAGCCTTGGTCTCTTTGCATACATTTCATCTGAACTACCCCTTAGTCTCATCGATTCGTGTACCAGAGTTGCGAGTGCATAACGCTCTATATATAGGTCTGATGTCTATACCGATCATTTCCGCCGGTCAACAACTCCATTTCGGAAGCTCTATCGTCAGAATCATATGCAGAAGGACAAGGTAAAACAAGCCAACAAAGAAAGTATCCATATATTATCAACCTAAAACCAAGCAGAGTCGCGGCGATAATCAACAGGCTCAACACCGCCTGATCGTCCCACTCCATCCCAGCCCCCTCTTTTTCAGACATCTGGATTGGATATGACGCTTTAACCATATCATCACGGGATCTGAAATTTCGCTTGTCATCTCTGTCCAGTTAATCAATCATATTATCAAAACTATGCATTGTGTTCTACCTCCTTGTTCTGCGACCTTCTGGATGTTTTTTCAGCGTCTGCTGATCCTGCCATGATTGTCATACATATCACCAAAGGAGTAGACACTCGGTTACAGAACGCGAGTCATTTGACGGATTCTATTAGGTGACTTGTCACCATCTGGTCTAGTGAATACCGTCCAATCTTAAATTCCTCGCGAATTAGGAATATCTGAGGGCCCAGTGTTGCCCTTTGTTCCTATAAGGAAATGAGTGGAAACTCGCCATATTTCCGTCATGCTTGGCGAGCATGTCTGACCTGAGGACCTCAATTAATCGCTTGGGCACCTCTTCTGGGTACACAAGGTAACATCAAGTTGCTTTGAGGGCTGATTAAATGTTACTCGGCAGCCACACCACACGCTATGCTCTAGTACATATTGCAAGACCTGCCTCTGATATGGCAGGCAAGCACTCTGAAGCAACCAAGGAGATCAGCAATTTCGAGACCTGGCAAACGCTTCTGATAATCAGACTATATCTATGAAGCTACCGTCTTCTTCAAGCACTACAGAACGACCCGTCATAGTATGTTCTGGCGTGACAATGAAGCACTGTATGGTCGCCTCCGTGGTATATATATATATCTCAAGAATTGAGGACCGCGGGATCCTATGATTTGATACAAATACCCCGCTGGTATCTGCTCATACACGGAATCGGACACTCTGGCTGTGACAGATGTCCTCATCAAGTAGTGGGATGTTGTGTAATTGATGCTTATGAGAAGACATCAGCAATATGGGATCTTTTGAAGAATCAGCAGAAACATGAACGGGATACTCGTAAACAAGCCGGTATATTGAATTGAATTTACACAATCTAATTTGTCTAAATCCCTGCATTTTAATGCAGCATTTAGAAGGCAGGTCGAATATTCCACACTGGTAATACATATAGATCTCAGCGTCACCGACTCGCCAGAACCTTCACTTGCTGTCTCCGATGATGGCCGTAGGAGTAAACCACTTATAGTGGCAAAGATACATTACCCGGCAGACAGCAGCCGTCGTGACTCCAATCAAGCTGAGACCAATCACGCCAACCAGTGGTACGACGACAGCAGCTTTTCCAGCTCCTACAAGCAACCAGAAGAGTCCCACGAAAGCGCTATATCCTGCGCTGACCTGTGCGAGAGAGATCTGTGCAACTACGTATTCGTATGACTACTCATCACAGAACTACAGATATCGACAACCAGAACGCATGCAATGCCCGCTACGTCTACTCAGATCAGGCTTCAAAAGACTAAGATAATTGAAGTGGTGGAAGGATGGAGACGCAGAAGTGAGCTCGGCTGCAGTCGTAGTCACCGAGGCCGCCTGGCCTGGAGCAGCTTCAAGCATCTAGACATAGGTCATACTTCAAGAACGCTAGCAAGCTCGGCTAATTAGACCTCGTTCAAACCTTATCCATCCAAGGACGAGCTTTATAATGCTGATACTAGTACTGTCCTGTTGCTCCGGCTGGAACATAGCCACTGGTTGTCCCAGTCTACCTATCAACCTTTTGCCTGCTGCTTGCTCGGTTGAACATTGTTGCAGCGGAGTCGAAGACAAATGGCTTGTCGTCCAGGTACAGGAAAAAGAGACCAAATAGACACTGGACATAGAAGGAATGGAAGGACTCGTATTACATGATCGTGTCGGTTTCAAGAAGTTTGAGCAGAAGACAAAGAGGAAGGGAATTTCTCGGAGTCTCCAGCTATAGGTTGGCCTTCCACATGCACGTCTATTATTCCCTCCAGCCGAAGCACCTTGCCTGTCTCGGAGAGCTAAAGAACTGGTGACACCACCAAGAAAGGTTCGGAGAGGAGGGTGGGCGTTGATAGGTGAGCGGATCAGCTGACTTACCCCATCCCTTAAAGCGGCAACGTCTGACTGAGAGATAACTCTACCTATTGTAATTTAAGTTATCTCGTGCCTAAACCGTAGATGATAGCCAAAAGCTGTATGTAGTACGGAAGTCTCCGGAAGATGAAGCTTGAACTCCCTGGATCTTCATAGGTAAGCTGCCCATTTGCGAACAGAATATGCGAACTTGAAGTTGACGAGAGTAAAATCTATCGAAGATTTACAACAATATAAAGACTCGTCCACCTCATCAGAGCCGAGTAGACAGATCAGAAAGGAGACTGAGCTGTATCAAAGCGTTCATCGCGCCTGGCCAAAAAAAGCACAGACATCATCACGGACCACCCAGCCCCGGAATCGACTCAAGGCTGACAGCTCCCGTAAGGCGGTAGAGAAGTAGGGTATAGCGTACAGACCTTGAAATGAACGATACATTGATCCTAAGGTATTTATCTGAGGACTCAGTAGATACCATATTGTGTTGAAGTTCGATACCATATGTAGTAATCCTTATTCCTTCACTGTCGAGAGCTAACACGAATAACAGGGTAGGCAAAGGACAAAAAGGAGCTTACCTCATAAGGTAAGGTAGGTTTAAATATCCAAGTACCTTACGTACCTACCTTACAAGTAGCTGGTTGAAATGTTACAGTTATGTCTTCCCTTTCCCCTCAATTATCGTGTGGTTTTCCCGCAGTAACTCTCCGTTGAAGCGTGGACCTTAGGTAATGTACGGTATTACCATACCTGTTCCGTTCTCCCCTAAGCCTCAGGCTAACAGTAAGGTAATAATAATAGCTCTTCGGAGCCGCAGCGAATCTCAAACAGTCAAACTCCTGCTGCTCCGCTGTTGGCGCAGGTTTAACACACCCTGACCATCAATGAATAACACCTACGCGACAATTCTTCCTGATTCATGTTTGATCCTCATCCATACCTGATGTTATTTGAGCTTTTTGACTTATATTCCAGTATTTCATTCGGTCTATTTTGACTGCCTAGCTTTTCATAGTGGAACGTGTGATGACGTTCCTCCACTACTACCGCTCGCCCTCCAGAACATGAAGGACCTTCCGTCTTGACACCGTCGCGCCCGACGAAATATACCCTGTGCTACGTTCAGTCGCCTTTGCGATATTTCTGTCTTCGCAAATAACAGCCAAGCCTATTATTCATTTCCTTCAACCGCCGTTCGAATCGATGGTTTATTTTGTTCCGTGCATTCCCTACCTTTAACGAAACGAACCTTGCTATCGCATCCGACCATCTCCATCTTAGTCGCACACGCCTCCGTACAACGTTCCCATCGAGCTTTAATATCCTTCCTCAACCTCCTCATTCATCGCTTCCTCCGAACCCGTTGACCATATTCATGGTGGATTCTTTCTTGGCGTCCGCGACTGCTGTGACAACCGGCTAATTTCTCGCTCCTGGCCATAACAGCATGTCGCTGCGTGGAAGCGAGAATTCGCACAGAAGGCGCAGCTCTGAGAGCTCCGGGGCCCACAGCTGGTTGTCGCAAGAGACCGTCAGAGAGAGTCAAAATCCTCGTCCGCTATACAATACAGCCATGCCGAATGGCCGTAGGTCTCCTTTTCCTGGCTCTGCGGGCTTAGAGAGGTAAGAAACAGTGTGAAAGCGAATTTCTCTCCCATTCCTTTTTCACACATGTTGAATTGCTGGTATCGTGTCTCTGTTGAAAATTTGGGGTATATATACAGTCGGTTGCGCGGCGAGGTTGACGAACATTGATTACCGGCTGTCAAAGCCCCAAATACGTCTTCGAAAATGGGACTGTGGTCTCTGTCATTCCTGCTGGTCTTAATGTTCTGATGTCGGATGAAATTCCGTGCCAGCATTTCTTTCTGTTATCTGCA